GAAAATGATTTAAACATGAATGAATAGTAATAAAAAGAAAATGGACACTTGAATAATCTGCAGGGAAATATCTGAGCAAAGACAGAAGACAAGCCCTGTCCACCAGAAGATTTTTAATGTTTTACCACATGAGGAATGACCACCTTAATAATAACCACCATCTGGCAGCTAGTTAGTGCTCAACACTCTTCCTGGTCAATGACAAATACACACATTAACAAAAGACCACAGAACATACAGCCTGTGATGCTGTTCAGACTGTTCATGTTACATCAGCGGATGTTTTGCGTAAATGAAGTCAAATTCAGATTTGGTTATTATGTTAATTTAGGTTTTACTATTTTCTGCTACTGCAGCCAAACCTCTGACCTTGTCACTTCTGCCTCTGTCGATCCAAACAAACACTACTTGGCAACAATTTTAATAATCAATGCCAGTTTTATGTAAAATGAATATCTTTTGGTTTTGAACTGTTGGCTGGATAACAAAAAGTAAGAAAACAATATGTCATGGTGAGGATAAACCAAAAACTCTAACCCTGTACCCCAGTAACACACATCCACAGGCTCTGCAGGCATCTTCAGTTTCATCTCCAAAATCAGACTAAAAAGATGCAGAAATGAATATTTTGATATTAAAAAGATATCATGACCACAGCTGTACTGTTCTGGTTCACTCTCACTGCAGCTGGCAGGCAGCTGTTTTCAGAGAAAAAGCTGTAAAAGGCCACTGCACACTAGCTGATCAATCAATCACTTATTGCAGGTTTATGTCTCAGAAAACATATTTGTAATGTGAACTTCATAACTTAATATTTTTTATCTTCATATGACCATTTAGAAATAAAAAAACACAGATGTGAAATATCACAGCACTAACAACTAGTGTGAGTGCCATGGGATCTGATATCAGTGTAATGACAAAGATGTCGGGAGAGAGGAGAAAGATTGTTAATTGTCTGTGTTTGTGTTTAATGTTCTGAAGTTGATAACAGAACCGTGTTAACAGGCGTGTATCATAGATGATTGCACTACAGCTACTCCGTAAACTGTAACAAAATGACTCGTGATCTTGCTAATAATGTTTTATTATTTACACATGTCAATTTTTTATTAAATAGAACTATACACAGTATTTCTCTTCTTTGTCTGGCCCTCGGTTCCTGTCAGCTTGACATTGAATTGAACCTTTGCGTTTAAACATTCAAACAATAGAGTCTGATTACGAGTGTACTGAGAGCTTTTCATACCGGCAGTCGCTCAGCATGAGTGTTTGAATTATATAGTAAAAAAGTATATAGACATCCAGGNATTCAAACAATAGAGTCTGATTACGAGTGTACTGAGAGCTCCTAAGGATTTTCATACCAGCAGTCAATTATTTGTTCATGCCCTTTAATTCTGCCATTCTCTCCAGCACCCACTCCATGAGTTACTACACTCAAAGATGGAGAGAAAGGATGGGTGAGCCTGCGCGAGATGAGAGATTACAGGAGAAACAATCAGCTTTACTGTGTGAGAAAAAACTCAGTTTGTTGCTGTCATATTTCCACGCTGCCCAAAGTCTATCTTTTAGCCATGCTAGTGGTGTGACTCTATGGATGCTGGATGGCTTTGGTTCAGACTGAAATATCTCAAATGATTAAATGGGTTCTCTTGAAATTTAGTTCTGATAATTCATGTCCACCTCCTGATGTTTATCTCACACCAAATACCTGCTAAATCAATGATAGTCCCATCAGCCTCACATGTATGTTGTGTTTAGTTCTAGTGTTAGCATGCTAAACCGCTGAACTAAGATGATGAACATGGTAAATGGTGTACTCACTAAACATCTGCACATTTGCATTGTGATTGTGCTTCATGCAAGTGTTAGCATTTAGCTGTAGGTACCCCCCCCCCCCCCGGGGGTGCTAACGTGGATGTAAACACCTGTCTTGTTTCACACATGATACTAACCATTTTTTTTAGCTCTGGCAGCATCATTGTACATTGTACCCTAACAAGGTAGCAGATTAAACGTCATGCTAAACCAACACAGCTGTTCCTAATGTCAAAGTCCAGCAACGAAAAGGTTAAATGTCTCTAATTCAATTTTTTCTGTGTCTATTTTAAGTTCAGAGGATGCTGAAAAAATGAAATTGAAAGAGACTTCTGATTAATTTGCATGTCCAAACTCTTCTGATCTTGCCCCAAAAAGGCCCTGTAGGGCTGGGGGTGTGAACTGATGTTGTGTTTTGACAGGGAGAGGTCAGGAACATTAGAATTATCAGATCGTAATAAATAAATCAGCAGTTTTATATTTTCCACTGTTAAGCAGTCGGAGAAGGGGCAGAGCGGAGTAATGAGGTAAGATGAAAGTGAGGAAGAGAGTGAAAGGGGACGAGCAAGAGAGAGAGTGGCAGGTATATTACAAAGATGTAAAGAATATTTATTTTATCATTAAAAGGCCTTTACATTATGCAGCTATTATTGCATTATAGCATTGAACTATATGGTCATTCTTTTATAGGCTCCACATGATTAGCGCATTGGGACTACTTAATGCACTATAAGAGGAGACAGTCACCAACACAAACAGTGCAGTTGTGGAGACATGTAACTCCGCACTCACCTCTGCTGGCAGTCAGCCACCCAGCTGCTAAACGAAAGTGGCAATTCATTCTGCCTGTCTAGTCAAGTACACATACAAATCCTGAATGTGAGCTGATGAAACTGAAACACACTGTCATTGTCAATAACACATGCATGGCATCCTGGGATATTTCAATCTGTGTACAGTACATGAAGCAGTACAGTGGTGCAGAAGTATAGTTTTGAATGATTAGGCTGAGATCTACTCGTGATCATATAAGGAATCAAAGTCATAGAAACCACAGTCACTGGGCATTTTTTCCCAGTATCTGTTGAGAGGTGTGTGCAGGAGGGGTATCTGGGATATCCTGTGGGAATTTTTGTCTTTTCACACTCATAAAGAGTGAGACTGTACGTTCTAAATCAAACATCCCTGGAGATTCCTGGTAGCTCCAGCACAGGTCTCAACCCCATTAGTTCATATCACAGCTTGAAACAACTACCAGTGTGTGTGTGTGTGTGTGTGTGTGTGAGCGTGTGAGCCTTAGAAAGAAATCTAACAAATCAAAATCCTTCTGAATGTTGTTTTCTTTCCTGCTGTTTTTCTCCGTGCATCTCAAATCAGCATATATTCTTCTCTTCAGTGCAAATAAACCATTTGCTGTTAATTCATCCGAATCCTTCACACAAGACTGATTACAGAAAAACAGATGCTACAGCCAGAACAAGAGAAAGAATAATGGGAGGATTTATAAATCCTTTAAGACTTCTATCTACCTACCTGAGAGTATCACTTTAAAAGTAAATACACTCATAGTTTAAGTGGTTTAAGTTGATGTATGGATGTTTTTCACATCTCACGGTGATCCAGATTAAGAACAAGCCTTGTGTTACGGATGTGTTGTTGCTTTCAGGACCCTTGTGCAGTGTTGTATGTGTCATTCATCCTTTGAGCCAGTAAAATAGGGGAAAGCAACATTTCTATTTAGCATTTTTACAGCATATAACACCTAAAACCTACTGTGACATGACAGGTCGCAGTTTGCTCTGGGTGCAAGGAACATTCATACATTGTCCATTGGCACACATTGGCTGGCTTGTTCTAAAGATGTAGAAATTTCCCACAGAGCTGAAAGGATGTTGGACTTACGTTCGCCAGGTGGACAGAAACACTATTCGAGATGAATGATAATGTTGCCCCTTAATTACAGGATCTCTAGCAACTATTCACCAACAAGTTTTCCATGTCAGTGTAAAGGAGATGTTACCGTCAACCTTGTGTTCTCAACTTGTTTCGGCTGCCAGAAAAAAATTAACTTGCATATTTTGAAATTTTGCAAACATGAGAATCTATTCCTTCCATTCATAATGTGGCCACAGCATAAGACATAAACACATTTTCTCTCACACTCACACCTGCAGGCAATTCAAAACAAAATTCCAATTCTGCTCTAAACCTGCATTTCAAAAGCCTCTGGACTAACTGGACTTTAATTCAAACCTCAAGATATTACTCAACTGTGCTTCACTTTAATCCAACGTTTCAGGGCAAAAGCCTTGAAGAGCCGAAAAATTAGTCAGTCGACAGAAAATTAATTGTCAAAATTGTTCCATTATTTCAGTAATTTGTTTCAAGCAAAAATGCAAAAAAAAAGTCAATAGTTCCAGCTTCTCAAATCTCTTGTCTTTTTTGTCAGTAAACTGAATATATGGGTTTTTGACTGTTGTTTGGACAAAACAGACACTGTCATGTCGGGCTAATCTGCAAGATCATCAATAATAAAAAACGATCCTTAGGTGGAGCCCTAAAGCCATGTAGGCAAAAACAGTGAATATGTTTTGACATTATTGCCCCGGTTGCAAAAAAGTGTGTGTGTGTGTGTGTGTGTGTTTGTGGTGGGTACAGAGGTGGGGGAAGGAGGGAGAACAGGATGGGTCCTTAGAAGTTATCCAAATGATCAAAGAGTGTTTGCCATGGTAGATATAAATTGCGTGGAGCACGGGTCCTCTGCAGCCGTGTTTGTCACTCATCGTCTGCCTTTAATGAACAGCTCATTAGACGGCATCTATCTGACGACAGGGAGCAAATGATCCAAGGATGAGGAGCGGAATTTGTAGCATCTATTTCACTGAGGGTAGGGAGGCGGGGAGCATGCAAAGATGTGCCTTTAGTTTCGGCTGCATGATTGGAGTAAATATCATCATCTTCATTACAGCAGCCTTATAATCCTTTGCAGGAAAATTCTCCTAACCTAAATAAGACCCTGAAAAACCAAATGTAGTTGGCGAAGTAATATATTCTATAAGGCTGTCCTATTTTTGTGTTTGTACAAACCAGCAATATTTTCTTGTTTAAAAACATAATAAGCGGTCACATAGCAGAAAGTGCTGTATAATAATATGATAACCGTTCTCTCCCCTTTGCAGATCTGTGACAAGGAATGGCACTATTATGTGATCAACGTAGAATTTCCTGCAGTGACACTATTTGTGGATGGTGTGACCTATGAACCCTACCTGGTGACGGATGACTGGCCGATCCACACCTCAAAGATTGATACGCAGCTGACTGTGGGTGCCTGCTGGCAAGGTCAGTGCATGCATGTTCATTGTCTAAAAACATACAGTAGCTTTAATGTAATGCATGAGGCTGAAATCAGACAGGAGTAGGATGCAAGTGCAATTAACATGGTGTTGTTGGGATTGTTTACAGCTGTGATATCATCTGTTTCATATGCCGCAGCCTTTTCAGCCCCAGATTAGGGCATTTATTTATTAGCTGCACATAAAATTAGGAGATCAGTTCCTATGGGCAAATTTACATGAGTGCAGGAGAAAATCTTTATCACTTCATTTAATAGCACTGACATTTGATCTGTTATCTAAATGGTTTATGACCGCATATTGACAGTTACAACTCTTGTAGTATTGTAAATGCTTGTTGTAAAACCAAATAAATAATGAGGAAAAAAACACAAAATAAGGGAATACAGGAAGATGAGGTTGTTATCTGTTCTTTACCAAGACACTTCTTTTCTTCTCCTTTCATTTGTCACCTGTATGTGCATGTGTTTCCTTTATCTGTTTTTAAATGTGTTCTCAGGAGAGGTTTTGGTTAAATATGAAAAAGTAGATTTCATTTATTTTTACAGAATAAAGTACATTTGTACCACTGAAACAGCGCTGCAAAGCTTTTCAAGCAAAGCCTACTCAAGTATTTTGTTCAGAAACTGTGCGGTTTTCAAAAGGAAAAGATTACTTATACACACTTCAGAACATGTCTAGCATTTAGTGCACTGACTAAAGTGTGATGTAATTTTTGCAAAGTTGGACAATTAATGGAGTTTCAAGAGGCAAAATAATCAGTCCACAGTCTGCAGGTGCAGTGGTCAAAAAGCTGCAGTTCTTTTTATATGCCCGGAGGAGCAGCCTGAAAAGATGATCACATGTGGTAAACACAGAGAAAATGCATCAACTAAGAGGTACAACAAAAATAAAATTCAAATTACATTTGAAGCACAAAAAGAGAGAGCGAGGAAGCAGGAGACTGACTGTTAAGATAAATAAAGAGATTAAGATTTATACCCCAGGGCTGCTAGTTTTTCCTCTTTGAAATGGAGAAGCATGAGCGGAGTGGATATCAAACAGGAAATTCTGCGTGTCACCTCCAGAGGCAGGGAATGAGAGCGAGTGGTGATCACATTGGAATGACTAAGAGCTACCCCTGCTGCCATGTTTATGAGTTGAATAATTATACAAAAGTGCTTTACAGGAGAGCAGAAAGAGACGTAGTGATCCGTTCTGCAGCTTTCCTAAGAAACACTCATTACACTCGCCAGCATCATCCAAAGCTTCAATCCTGATGGTATTTCTGTTGCTGTTTAAATTTCTTTTCATCCTGTGCCTGATTGCATTTTTTTTTTTTTTCCTTTTTTGTCGTCATCATTTTCTTCCTTGGTTCATCCAGCCCTCTCTTCTCTTTCTGCCTCTTTCCATGAATCTCTGATTGTGAGAGAAAGCCCTGAAGGAAGGATTAGCTAGAGTGAATGGAGGACAACTTTGCCAGCTATTACATCCCAATGAAGCTCCTTTAAGCTTCACTAAGCCGCAACTGATAACTTTGCAGGCCATTAGTGAGCAAGATTGCCTTTCAGAGTCTCTCATTTCTCCATCCCCTTTTCCCCACAATCAACAACATAATGATGAGACATGTGAAACGAAAGGCATTCACACTGTACTTTCACTGCCCTGAAAGAAAAAAACCAAGCCCTGTGTTGTTGCCATACAAGGTTAACAAGAAAATGGTTTGGTTGTTTGTTTTTTAAGCAGTCTTCTCTAGCAGCGAGGTGTTCTTGAGTTTGAATGGGAAATGTTGTGTTTGCCATCGCATTTCATTTGCGGCAGAAAGGTGGGTGAGAACTTTCAAAGCAACCCCACTGTGTACAAATACTTAATCAAAGAAGAGGAAGCACGGGGAAGACATCAAAAAGAGCGTGGGGTGATTTTATGTCGGAAATGAATGCATCAATCAACATATGCCATCACATATTTTTAAGCCATTTGCAGCTGTTGTAGAAACACAATGTGCTACTTTTTCAGCATGTGTTTAGCAAACAGTGATCACATTCGATATATTAGTACACTGCTGCAAGAATAAACTGTTTTTTTTGTTATATTAATTCCCAGTCCCAGTAATGCCACTAAACCAGCCATGTACATCACAAGAGCCAAGAAACTGGGACCCCTAAATGAAATGCAGTCGTGTCTGCCATGAAGAAGTTTCAACAGGTTGTGGGAGCACACAAGTCCTTGGGCCATTTTCTGAAAGATTTAATCCTTAAAATGTTTAAATAAAAACTTAAACACACTGATTTCATAAAAAAAGAAAAAAAGATCGGGACCTCACAATTGATGATATGCGTGTGTAAATGTATTTATGAGTAAGAAAATATTAAGGTGAAGGTCCAGCACTCTTGTGTGGATGTCTCAGTGCTAACTTCTCCTTTTTTTTAATGCGCTAGATTCATTTAATGGATCTATAAAAACACAACACAGGGAAATCAAATATACAAGTTTGCATTTAGTCCCTGATTCACTCAATCACAGAGACCTTGTCATGATTAAAACCTTTCAACAATGCATTTCTCAGAGAGATGAGGGAGAGTAAATGTCAGAATCAATGACGTGTGGTTCTACATTTTCAGAGAGAAAGGGAGATGATGGCCACACAGTGCAGTGTGCCCCTGTGTACACCTACCATCATCTGAAAAACACAGAGCTAATGTCTGCTGCTGATGCATGGCCAAAAATAATGCAGAATAGGAATAAGGGTAATCGGCTTATAATATGGTTGACAGTCTTAGTTTGCAGTTTGTGATTCTGCCATGTACAAGTACACAATGTCACAGTGGACATAGAGGGAGATGTGTCTACAAAATGTAAATGCATCTCTGATGAATACACTTCAAATATTTTTTTTTTTGTTATCGCAATTAAAACCAAAAGTCTTTCTCATTCCATGTTAGTATGTACTTTATTATGAGTCAGACATCAGACAGGAGGTGGGGGGAGCCCAAAAGAGAAATTGCCAGAGCCTGCCAACCACATGTATCTTTTATTTTATCTGCAAAAAAACCACATTGCAGAAAATATCCTTGAAATAAATGTAGACATGAAACTGTTCCTCATGGTTGCTACCAGAGGAGGCCACATCTCGTTATATATATGTGATGTAGTGCTATATTGAAGTGCTATACTAAAATGCTACTTCAGCATTTTAACACTTGGTTACTGACAAAGTGACTGACTCGACGGTATGCTACCATATAGTGCAATGTGATAATATCCTCCGGTTGTGATCTAGATGTCAAATATTCTCCATGAAGTAAAAGTCTGACCTTTTTGAACTCTTGTAGCAGTTAAAAAGTTTTTCCTTGTCAGTGTGACGCAGCCTTGATTTGATGAGAGTCCTCCGTTAGTCACTTACTAACATTTGACCAGCTTTAAATATGAATAACAAGTGAACACTATTTACAGTGGCAACTCTGCTGCCTTGCACTTCAATGACATAATAACACTACAATGTTGTTTAGATTTCTGCACAGCACCAGTATGCCAGCTTCATACATTTTAAAGGTTACAGCATAACATGCTGTATGTCCAGGTGGTTTTAGGACATGGACTACATCCTAACACTGTGCTCTCATTCATCACCATCATCATCATCAGCCTCAGTCTTTCCTGTATCTCACAGCTCAGGGAGATAAACACGGTGACAAAGTGGAGTGATGCTCTGATAAAAAAGAAGGTGACAGAAATATCTGTATCTTTTTATAACACACATTTTAGGTCTCCTGCTGCACAGCTTGGTGAACTCGGTTGGTCAGAGTCTCTGTGACAGGACCTTGTATGATTCACACTGACAGAGCTGAGAGAGTAGATGCCTCCAGGCCCGTGCAGACAGACTGGTAGCTGCTGTTCACAATAACATCTGCCGTTGCTGTTTACAATTCCCCGAGCCTCACTGCACAGAATGGCTGTGCACCAGGAGAACCTCAAGTCTGCGTTCAGTGAGTCAGTAAGCTCAAGTAGCAACATTACTGAGTTGACACTGAAGACATTATATGCAGTAGACAATGAAAGGGAAGACATAGAAGGGAATCAAAGCTACAATATATATTATTATATATAGTATTTTTTAGTATTCCACAAAGAATTGTACTGCATGGATTGTCTTTAGTGTAGTTTACTGTAGAATTTAGTTTCAACAGAAAAGGTTGAGTTAGGTTGTAACAGCACAAATAAAGTCTATCTGAAGAATCTGTGCACGTGTAATATCAAACACCAGACTGTTTGGCAGGAGCTCACTGTCACATATTTGTACTTGTATATGAATACAGTACAGAATATAAATATAGACTGAGATACATTCAGCTCTGGTGTTATTTGCATTGCTTTAAAAAGACTTGACCTGAATGTCACCCTGTGCTAGAATTTGTCAAAGTGTATAAGCCACAGCTGACCCACCCTTGAAAGACTCACATTGGGAGTAATTTGTGTTAAGTGGATTGGACCTTTATGATTTTTGCGGGAATGACACACTTCATCAGAAGTGGTGAAACTGCACCACGGGGCCGAGCTGACCTGTCCTGCAGGAAAATCTGGTGCTTTGTGTGAAAGAAGTGGCCTCTTAAGAAGATGTCAGGGCTTGAGTGAATTTGTGATGGAGCTGACGCCGCAGTCTGCAGTGCTGTGGATACTGGCACAAATGTAGAGGCTGTGCCAATGTGTTGGCCTGCATTACAGCTTCCATTTATATTGTATGAAAGGATGTATTTCCCACTTGCTGTGGCAGTTGCAGAGCATGTCAGGTCAAGTACCATTACACCTGTCAAACTCATGTATCAAATTAAAATCCTGACAAGAAGAGTCAGAATATCTGCTGTTGTGGTTGGTGTTAGAAATAGAAATGTACATACGATATTTGCAATAATATTGCACCTATTCTTAGGTAGCTTTTTGTCTTTATTCAACAAAATTACACAGTTGTTACCACCTGCTCACACAGCATATTAATGTGGGGGTACAGCAGGCACACAGACAGCTAAATCCACAGATGTGACTATAAGCTATATAGCATACTGGTAAACTATAAGTGACATTTTTTTTCTGCTTTTAGTTAAAAGTCACACGTATTTGAAAAAAGCGCTTTTGTTATCTGTACGAATCAGTTTAACATTCACACCTTAAAATATGTTCAATGAAAACTCTGAGTTAATCCATCTGTATATGAACCGTGTGTAGACAACTGTGAAAACACATGGTCATTATCAAGGCAATTAAATTACATTTATTTCATGTCAGACATAGTGTCACAATTGTTTCACACGCTTCTTTTCTTACCTCAGATCTAAACGTGGTGAAAAATAAATAGTAAATTCTTCATAGCTTGCTGGCCACTGGGTCTCGTAAGCCTTTCCTGAAGCAAATTCACGGGCTTTACTCATGGAACAATTCATAATACATGTTGTTGTCTCCTTATGCAATCTGTTTCTATCCCATTGTCTTTTTTCACCCCACTTCTCTCCTCTTTTCTCTTCTCTTCTCCTCTTCTTGCCTTCCCTGTTAGGTGGTGAGGTAGCGACCCCGAGGTTCACCCAGTATTTCCATGGCAGCCTGTCAGGTCTGACAATCCGACCAGGCCGCATTGAAACCCAGAAGGTTATCTCCTGTTTGCAGGCCTGTAAAGAAGGCCTTGATATTAACTCCCTTGAAAGCCTAGCTAAGGACATCAAGGTGAGTGGAAAAAATGGAGCCAATACACACACACACACACACACACACACACACACACACACACACACACACACACACTAAACACTTTCAGCCTTAGTTTGGTAGTATTGTAACTGCTAACAACCATAGTGATTCTGTAGAAGAAGAAATAAGACAGCATGTTTTATTCAGCGTTCATCTTTTAAGCCGTACAGGCTGATGGTTACATTGGCACATTTATCCTCATCAAGGCAAGAGACACATTATGTCACTGAGTTACAACATAAACAACATGAATCCAGATCTCTTTGTTTCCTTGAGGACAAATAGTGTTTGTGTGTGTGTCCAGTTCCATTTTAACCCTGCCCAGTCTGTGCTGGTGGTTGAAGGAGAGGATGTGGACAGCATCAACACAGCCATGACCAAGGTCTCCTACATCAACTCTCGCCAGTTCCCCACACCAGGCCTCCGACGGCTACACATCACCACCACAGTGCAGTGAGTACACATGCTGTACATTTGGACGACACATTTTTAACTGTTATCCAGGGGAAAAATGCACTATTGCATATTGCTTGTTTGTGCTTGTGGCTTGATTTGAACATTTACTTTGACTCGGTGCAAGTTGTGTCTCTGTGGTTTTTCATTACACAGGCTGTACAGTGGTTAAGTAAATAGGATATTTGTGTTTGTGCAGACAATTCATCGCCTTTGTTTCATGCATTCATTGGGCAGTTGGGAAGTACAGGGATCTGTTTAATGTACAGAAGGATTGTACAATTAACGTGTCATGAGGGTCTGTGTTGTTTGATTGCTACCTCTGTGGTGTTTGTAACAGATGCAGACCACTGCTGTGAGCTATTTATGACTCACATCTTGGTAAAGGACTACGGCAACACCTGTAACAAGTATTAAAGTCTGAGGGGAGCTGTCTGCTTGTTGAATAAAGTGTGAGGTCTCTAAACTATCACTAGAACACGAACGGGAAATGTTGCATACATAATACATGAAACAAATTGGTCAACTTACTGTAAGTCTATTTGACAGTCACATATGGTATAGAAACAGCCAGAGGAGTGGTGGTGAAAGCATGAAAGGAAAGGCTCTGTTAGATGTGTGGTGTCTGTCTTTTCTTTAAACCACAGGACTCCCAGTGAGATGGCAGGGGATGGATCATTAGTGTAAAAACTATTAAACCACTAAACAGACCAACTGGCCATTAAGGACATTAAACTTTCTAGTGATTGGAAAGAACATATTGCTAGTCTTCTTTCATTTGTTTTCTGTCTTTTTTTCTGTGTGTGTGTCTGTACATTCATCTCTGGATTTAATTTGATTTGCTTTGACTTGATTGAATTGACTTTGCCCACTTTGCCCAATAGCCGCAGGGTCCCAGGGACATTGATGTCAGTCGGTCTGTTTGTCCATCTTTTGCCCAAATATGTCTTAACAACTGCCTGTCTAAACCCTCACAAAATCTACACTTTGCTCCACAAAAACATGTCTTGAAAATAACTATATTTCCTTGATGTTTGCTGTGGATTTTCAAAGGATTAATCCTAATCTTTTTGTCGCCCCGCTGACATTTTCTCTAATGCCACCATCAAGCCAAAATTTCCATCTACACACAGGAAATCTAATAGATATGCAATAATAACCTAACTGACCAGATAAAATGCTTTTGCTGGTATAATTGGATTATTTATTTTCCTCTTGATGATGATTTAACCAGACGTGAATTTGTGTAATCAAACAACACCCACAGCCCCTTTAACATGGGAGTGAGAGAGAAATTGAATATTAAATTTAGTCTGTCCGAGCCATTATATTTGAATACTGTTGTATCTCGTTATGCAACAGTGTCTTTGATTGATTGCTAACTGCTGATTGATTTATGATTGAAAAATATACTAACTAATAAATTCTTTAATTTCTTATCTGCATAGTAAATGGCTAGTTTGTAAAAAACAAGCACTTTGATTTTTTAATTACACTTACAGCTCAGTCTTTATCCGAATTTTCTCCTTGAAGCAATAAGCTGCTGCACACTTATTGTAAAGTGCTCGATTACTGTGACTGAGTGCGTGAGTGCGTGTGTGCGCGCGCACCTCTCTGCTTCTCCTCACACTTAAAGTAGCCTATTTGCTCTTCCTCACTCTCCTCAAGTTTGCGTGTGTTTAGTTGTATGTGTGTGTGTGTGTGTGTGTGTGTGTGTGTGTGTGTGTGTGTGTGTGTGTGTGTGGTGTACATGAGTGCTTGTTCTCATGTCTCGCAGCGTACACTTTAGTGTGTCCGCTCCCGTCTCCGCACGTATCCACCACCTGTTCATTTTGTTGAGCAGCAAACACAGGCAGGTCAAATCAGCTTAGATGTGCGCTGGTCGATAAAGTGAAACGAGCTCAAGGAGCAGCGGCAGAGGCTGTCTAACTCTCAACACTTCACAGCTCCCCTCGAGATAAACACAGATAGATCCGCCTTTACTCTCCGTAGATATGTTGAATCTCCGGCCTGTGACTGAAAAAGAAACAATATGTAATCCTGTTGCAAACTGTTGATATTTTTTCATCTCAGTTATGTGATATTTAGCTTGTGAAAGAGAGTGTGATATTTAGATTAACCACAATATTAACTAAAGACTTTGAATTAGCATGTATCTGTGTAGTTTTGAACTGATCTATTGTGGGGGGGGGGGACTCAGTTAGAGAAGGGTGAAACACCAATCAGGATTAACATTTGAATAAGAGTCTGATGACATTTGGAGGGTCATTTGATCAATCAATCTGCTCAAACCACACATACTGTGTCTAGCTGAGTTTCTGAGAGTTAAACTCTTAATGAATAAACCTAAAGATGTTGATTTAAGTTTAATTGTTATTTAGCCCTGGATATATTAAAGACCATAAATACCTATTTTCTCAATCAACCTCTTAATATGATCGATGAGCTCCTACATGACAACATTTACCACCGAAGGTTTTGGTTATTTTACATGACATAAATGACTTTGTGTTTTTATCCTTGCTCTTCTTACTGCTCTTTAGTGGTCAGGTTCAGTTAGAAAAAGGTTATGTCACATATTTCCATGCACCATTCAGGATGGTCGGTGTTTGTTTCTAATGTTGCCAAGCTATTGTCAATCAAATCGAATCAAAGTACATCTGCACTGATGCAGCGGCTCAGCTCAGTTTTGTGTTAAACTCCAAACAAAAATTACCTAAGGATGTTAACAAACCTTAACCTGTTGCTGCTCATTTAGTCTTGAATATTTAATCCTGTAGAGAAAAATTCTGAGGGGCTTTAACACATATTGTTATTAGATCTTATAATCTGTGGGTTTAACCAAATTTATTCATCTAGAATATTAAAAATCTGTATTTCTCACAAACAAAAACTGTACTTTTTACATTTTATGATCATTATTTGTGACAAGAAATGATACAAAAACATGAATACACCAATGCAACACTGATGCAATTAAATTAAAACAAATAAGCAGTGAAGCAGTAACACTGGTACTGTCCCATCCTGTAACCTCTCCTCTTCTGTGTGTGTCAGGTGTTTCGGGGAGGACACGTGTCTTTCCATCCCAGACATCAAGGCAGTCGTTATGGTGCTGCCGCCCAGTGAACCGAGAATCACAATTACAGGATCTAATCGACTCGTCAGGCCTGCCAGTGACCTGCAGGGCCCGCTGGGTGTGGCACCCTTCAAAGAGCTTCACATCACCAGCACCGTAATGAAGGGGGACAGCTTCGGTGGATGTGAGTGGAGAGGCTGCACTGGGCTGTTAGGATGCTCTTATGTCATACCGGCTTTGTAGTAATGTTTCAATTAACATTACAGTAAATGTGTTACAGCTACGTGTACTGCATATTTAGTTTTTCATCATTTTGAATTTATCTTGCACGTTTCCATGCACACAGTCCACAGGCCAGGTGTGATGGAGGTGATGCATAACCTGGACTACTGTGACATCCTGGTAATTGGAGAGGAACTGAATCCTGAGAGAGAGAGTCTGGAGATTCATCACAATGCTTTGTTGGGAAAACACCTGGATGCCACCAACTCCACCTCTGGAATTTCAATATATGGTAGGCAGAGCTGTCACATGATTGTAGGCTACATGTGGTGTGTGGCACTAATGCTCTGTGGTGGGCAGACATCATGAATTCCCACCTTAAATTCACTCAGTGGACTGCTGTCATGACATATGACACCAACATGCAGTTTGTATAACATTTTCTCTGTGTGTTACAAGGTGTGGACTCCATGGCCCACTATGAGCAGGCACTGAGACAGGTGCGCTACAAGAACTGGCGACCCGCCACCCTGAGTGATAGAAGGTTCAGACTCACCTGCTCTGAGCTTAACGGACGTTACACAAGCAACGAGTTCAATTTGGAGGTCAGTTTGTCATCTTTCATCCCTCATATTTCATCTTCCTACCCCCCCCCCCTCTCTTCTGGTCATGCACTGTTTAATCCTCTCCCTTGAATCCGCCACCCTTTTTTTTCTTACTTCTTCTTTAGCTTTTATTTCTAAAACTAGTGATCAATAACGATCGAGCGTTTTAATTCTCACCTAGATCATCGTTAATATCACCTTGGCTTTTTATTTTATTTAATCATTTTTGTGGTTGCACAAATGATCATCTACCTTCTTTTCTCTGAGGATAATGGCTCATTGTCCCGCCCCTGCAGGTCAGTGTTCTTCACCACTCAGCGCCTGTGGAGCATGTCAATCATATGGCAGCCCAGTCCCAGTACATGAGACCTGTCCATCACCCACTCATGATACACACTTTCAACTCGCACATGTCAGGTACGCTACAAATGTGACTGAAATGCCAAAAATGTCTGAAACCAGGTGCCACTGTCTTTTCTGTTACATGCTGTTTCACACACATCACAAGTCCACATATGTAAACATGTAAACATATGCTCAGAACTGCTGTTCTTACTTTACGGATTTGAATCCACTTTCACTTGCAGTCTATGATTATAACAGACATTTAGATTCATTCGCCTTCATTTTCTGGTTAAAATAAGCAGCTTGGACAAGATGATTAAATTGCAGATTTGTTTGCAACCTGTCAGATCAGAGATCGCTCATGATGGTTCCTCTAATGGGCTCGCTGTTGATCTTAGCAATGAAATTTGAGAGTAAAATTGTATCATTACTGAAGAGAAAGATCACCAAGACAACAATATGTATAACCACGGTTGTAAAATAAAACTTTATTCAAGGCTTAAACCTTTAAGGAAATGAAATTTAAAATAAGACACAAGTGAAAATTTTTAAAAAAAAAATTTTAGCTTTTTCAGTTTCTCTAGAGATGTTTTGCTTCTCTCCTTCTCCTTTAGGCACAGCACCTCCAGCAGCCACAGTAGTTATCGTGGTTTGTATTGCCGCCCTGGTTGTGATTGTGGTGATCGGTGTGTACAGGATCCACACCACACATCAGGAGGGGTCCAGAGAGGATGAGGACGAGGTGAAGGACCCTGAGGTGGACTGGGACAACTCTGCTCTCACCATTACCGTCAACCCCATGGAGGTAACTCGTAACATGCTTAGATTTGTGGATGTTTTAGTCTTTTCTTGTGTTTTCTCCTGATTTATCTTAACTTACTTGAATTTGTTGAAAGAATGTAAAGTGGATTTTGGACTTTCACTAAAACACACTGTTCTGTAGAACATAAAAGGAGCTCAGGCGCTGGATGGAGGGGTAAAAGAAGAGAACCGGGAGGAGGAGGAAGACGAAGAGGATGAAGAACAGGTGGGAGGAATGACAAGTGCTGAGTCAGACAACAGTGATGAAGATGAGGAAGAAGAAGAGGAGAGAGAAGAGGTGAAGAAGAGGAAGCAGAGGGGAAAACTTGAGTGGGACAGTTCCTCCATAACATACTGATGACACACATATAAACATATACATACATATACACAACACTCTGCAAGTTTGTCTCTCTCACTCCCTCCCACTCTCTATCAACCACACACACACACACACACACACACACACACACACACACAAAACACACACATCGTGCAGACATTCCTTCATGCTCGCTACAGGTACATACACACACTCGAACAAAATCTCTGATAAAATTATTTGCAGTCCGCTGCAGGAAGCAACACTTTAAATCGGCCCACATTGTCATTGTTAATGAAACATCTCCCTCTGCTGGACAAAGTCAGAACTACAGAATCAGCCGCAGTCCCACAGTGCTGGAACAGGGTCTGTACTCACATTATTATTCACATCACAGTCAGTGAAGCAGAGCAAAATATATCAAACAAACACAGCTTTCTCATTATGTGTGCAGAATTAACCAGAGTTTTGCAGCTAATACTGAATCTCAAGAATGAAATCTTAAATATGGCGACACAAATATAAACACAAGGATGATGTGAGCTTTTATTATTTAATATGTGCAATTATATGTGTCCTCAGATTACTTTTTTATTGTTTACTTTTTAAACAGGTTATCTGAAAGATGGTGAATTAATAACAAATTTAAAAGCGAGATGTATCCATATACATATCCATTAATAAATGTATCCATAAACCTTTTTAATATAATTCCTTCAGCCTATATAGTAGGTATAACATAGCTGTGTTGTCACTGAGTGTAAATCCTCTGTTCTCATCTTTAACTCAAACCAGACACTTTTCTGTCCTTAAAATCTGTGTGATCCGTTCTGAGTGTCTCTAAACGCATCGCAGTGCTGTGGTTCTGTGGCCTGGAAAGAGAAACACATTCTCTCTCTCTGTTGCTCTCTCACATAAACGCTCCTCATTTGTCCTGTTTAACGTACAATACAAAGCAGAATTATTAACTGTTAATATCTTTCACTTTCGGTTTCTTAGGAGGATTTTAAACTAAAATGATCTCTTATCTGTCATCTTAAAGCCAAGTGAAAAAGTTGATCGGGGTTAAACTACTTGTAGAAACAAAAAGGTTGATGGCGTTCAAAGCGTTTGCATCTTTGTCAACATATCTATCCAAACTGTGGCCTAATATAGCCTTTGCTGTTTAGGGTTAGATGACTTATCTTTCTTTTTTCAGCATATGAAATGATACAGAGATGTTAGTATATGCTATTGAAATCCTGTTAGCCCTCTATGCAATTATGGGCCCAGTAAAAAGTCCAGTACTCAGAAACTGGGATACTCCAGCAATTTAGTGTTGCAGAGGCTGAGATGTCCTGACCTGACTTTTAGTGCCTAGTATGGTTCAATCTCCAAAAATGCCTGATCCTGCTCTACCCGTAATGCAACTCAATTGCATCTCTTCTTATAGAACCTGCTGAACATTTAAATTCATCTGTGGCACAAACCTGTAGTTCTTAAGTAGGACTAAGTGTAACATAGCAGCAATAGCTTACAATCTCTGTGCAGTGCAGACCTGCAGCAGAGCTGAGGTGCTGTGGCTTCTTAATGTGACATGGCTCAGCACCTCTGCTAGTGCGCCCATCAGACTCAGGACAGTTTCCTGAGCACACCAAAACCACTGACGATGTCCTCACTATTTCCAACACATTACTGTGGTCTCTAAAAACTCTTCCCCCTCTCATTTCTCTCCACAGCATTCTTAGAAAACCACAGATCATGAGCCACGTTTCTGTCCTTTTGTCACTTGGTGTCGCTGATTTGCAGGTGTCACCCATTGTTACCATGGAAACATGGCTCTTAGTGGTGTTTAACATTTTGGGCTTTAAATAAGTCTTTATTTCTGTTATTTCTGTCTTTAATCAGTCTTTATTTTTGTGAAACATCTAAATTGCATTAATGTAATTTAATTTAAGGAAATTTTAGACTGACCTAACACTACAGATCAGTCTCAACACCTCCGGATTGTAACACAGGCTTTATGTTTAAAAAAAAAAAGTCTTATGTTGAAGCAACGATAACCCTGATTACATCATCTGGGTTATATTCTCTGACTTGACAAACCCCCTCCAGAGCCACAGAGGACATTATACCACTGTTTTCACTGAGTCGTACAGATCTTCATGTGTAAAATCCCACACAGAAACTTTGATAAACTTTGCTGGAGAAAATAAGCAAAGCAGAATAATTGTTTATTTTACTTCAAAACATGGAAACTTCACTAATATCGACTCCATCTTGTACCATCATTAAAACAGATGAAGTAAATCAGCTCAGACAAAATCCCAGTTTGATCTCACGAGTTTATCTTTATTCAAACAATCTAAAAGAAACTCCATATCCCTTTGACATTCGCTTCTCCACTCAGAGAAATCACCTCTCACCTGATCCAGTATGGGTGACTATTCCTCCCTCTGAGCTCTCTAAATGATACGTCTCCTGTTCACCTTTCCCTCCCTCTGTTGGCCTTGAAGCACCTGTGATTGTGATGTCATCATTGTGAAACAACTGCCTTGTTTCCCTTGTCCCCCTTTGTCATATTGTGCTTCTGAAAGATTAAAGAGAAAAAAGATTCTTTTACATATAAAAACAAACCCTGTAAAAATGTTCAAGACAGTTATTTTATACTGTATATCCGTTTCTTTTTCTTTTTGTAAACAAAATGGTTGGGATCTCTCTCTCTTTAGTGGTCATCCCACTGCTTTCTGTATATTGACCAATAAAGACTTGTTTTAGACTCTACACAGCTCTCCTTTTTGTTTCACCAGTAGACATCTGAAATGGCTGTGTGTTTACAAAAGGACTTATGGATTACATAATTAATAAGCTGTCATTGTAGATGTTGGCAAGCTGCCTGAATTCATTATATGTTGGAGCTGCCTGACTGACTTTTCATTTGTTTACATAATAACCTTAACATAGACAGAGAGGGCTATGATTTCAACGTCATCTCTGCATTTGTTCACTGTGTTTGTATTTCTGGGTCAAAAAGCTGATATGTAATTGGTTTTCTTCTACAGGATATTAGAAATTCATATTCGAAGCCCCATTGTTTCGATACTTAATGTCACAGCAAAAGAGCAGATATAGAACAACTGATATTTTCTGAGATTTTATTTGTCAATTCTAAACCATTTTACAAAAAGGCCTCTGAAGAAAAACATTGTAGTGTGGTCAGTCAGTGCGGCATCATAGCATTTGGTCTCTCTTCATGACCTTTATTAGAGCTGCAAAGGTCTATTAAGTCTAAGCTATTAAGGTTTTTTCTGACTTTTCTCAAGGTTTTGCTATTTTCTTGTGAAATTGGGAACAATGTCTGTCTCTTCATGCAGGCCTCTAAAAATCCCTCGAAGGTTCATAGCAAAGGGTTAATCGCTCACAACTTATAAATTATAGTATTAAAATTAAATTTAAGAATTGAGGGTGATAATAGATCCTTTCTCACTAAATACTGATTTGTTTTAAAGCATCACAAGCAAAAAAGGTCTGAATCCACCATGTTAGGAAATCCATTCATTCACAGAACAGATAATGAATCATTTTAAGTGGAAAACATAAAATAAGTGTAGTAAAAGTAAAACAATAAACTTAAGGACATATAGATGTTCACACATTATCAATTTCGCAAGTTCAGAGTTTATAATATCCCTGTTCATTTCAGATGGTAGTCAAAAACCAAGGGGAAAAAACTATTACAGAATAAAGAGTAGGTTAATATCAACTCATGCAATATTTATATTTCTTCATTGGCTTAGAGACACTGAATTTCAGGGGGTAAAATACACACTGACATGTTGCATTTAATGATGTAACATTTTGAAATTCCAGTCATAAAGAAAATAATTCATAACCACTGCTTTGAGGGAAACAACAAAGGTGGTGATGTCACACAGAGAGAAAAATAATATGAATTCAAGATTCCTTGAAGGTAATTGTGACATTTGGGGAAACACTTATTTTCTGAATTGATATTAATGTCACTGTGCATTCAGTAGGGTCCATATCAACTGCAGCTGCTGCAGAGCATCACTGACCTCTGCTGGAGGAAGGATTAACATGAGCTTGATTGACAGTTCATTCAGAAATCAGTACAGCAAATGAAAAATAAATAAATGTAGAGAAAATAAGATAAAATATTATTTTTCCATCAAACCTTTGTAAACTGTCTGTGTTATAAAGAAATTATCTCCTTATAATATTTGATATGAATTTTTAGTAAGTAAGGTTGTAAGTGTTCACTAATGGTTAAATTTTAAATTACTATATTTAATTAATTCAAACATGCTGCAGTAAACAATATTTTTCTACTAGAACTGGCACTTTACTATCTGGCCAGCAGCACATTACTGACATCACAAGTCCTGGATCTTTGGTCAATCCCACAATCCTTTTAACTGACTACTTCAGTCCATTTGTTAAATGCCCAGAGTTTGTGCAGATGAAGTTCTGCTCACCATAGTGCTGACTATTCATTTCTACACTCAGCAGCTCCCTGAGGATGAAGAAACACAGTCATCATAAAATAATGAGGCATAAACACAGTGGACCTGATGCTACTAACTGCTATTGACTTTCTTCAGCTTTTCAGTTGACAATGTTGTTCTTTTGTTTTAGAATCTCTTAATCGCCTATTGTTATTTTCTTTCTCCTTGTATATAATATATCTCTTACAGGTTGCTGTGAATTGAAAAAATAAATCAACTTTCAAATTTGAACCTCTCGCTAAAATGGTCTGAACTATAAACTCCACCATGATAAGACCAGACACCTCAAAGCCAGTGTAGAATTGCAAAAATCCAAGTCCAAGCTCATCATCAAATTGCCTGATGTATCTTTTCAGGTGCTGGACCACCTCTACTTCCTTCCATGTCATCCCTGCAGGAAAGTTTAATATAGCTGCCACTTTCTTTGGCATTGGTGTGAGGTCACTGTACATGTTGGTCACTTTCCCAGAGTCGATATGCATCTGTGGCTGTGTTCTCTCCCTCCAGCATTCAATGACAAACACTAGTTCCTCGTGAGATA